ACACCTGATCTTGTAATGTGATTGGACAAAAACAATCATGTGATTGCGCTCTTTTTCGCCACCACTAAGTTACTAGAAAATATCTACCAATAATTCGTCAGGTCTATGTGCACGTGCCAAATCACATGGTTAAACGTACCGTGTCGTTCAAGCATGATTAATGACTTATTATAAGAGAAACATTATTGTAGAATGTATTTTATTATAAGAGAGATTTTAATCCTTATTCGTAATGTATTTGGCGTACTGAATTTGAATCTTATACAAACTTAAACGTACAAGTGAAATGAATTGTTATAAATATAACTATGTATTGCGTATATTATTAATTTTGAAGGCGATAAGTTTAGACTGAATTTTAAATTTTGATCAAATTCGATTTCCCAAACATTCAAAGCTTAAAAAAAAGAAGGGGAGAAAAGATCGAAAAAAACAATTTAAAAAAAAAAATTCCAAAATTCGAAGGCTTTTCCGGAGGATTTTATGTCGGAAAATCATGTGACTACGCCTGATCCTTAGCAGCGCTGATGCTTTTTTTTAATTTGTTTCATCATTTATAATAACGTCATCATTCAAACTATTTTCTGTGTGATTATCAGTACCATGATGAAATTGATTATTCATTTGGCTTTCTTCAATCATGTTTTGGGCCGCGTATATCGTTGCGCTAATAGTACTAGAACCCTCAAATCCAATGTTTTTTTCAAACCTAGAGAGGCGCCTTTTCAATATTTCAACCTCCTCTTTTAACAATTTATTCTCATTCTGGGAATCTACATACGCTTTTTCATACATTTTTGCCTTATCTTCTAAACTACGAAGGCGTTCACGATAACTGCGTTGATTTTTCGACTCTTGTTTGTGCTTTTTAACTGATGACATTTATCGTTGAAATAGAACGGTGAGAAGTGATATTCTCGGGAAGCTTTAAAAGCGTTGGAACAGATGGTCTAAGGATTGGTAATATTTATATTTAAGGGAAAAACACAAATTCTAAGGGTTGAAAAAAGAGGAAAATAAATATAAATAAGCGTGTAATATTGTAATACCCACCATGTTATACCCATGCACAACCTCGGCACTGCGGTGCGACAAA